TAACATACATACATACATACATACATACATACATACATACATACATACATACATACATACATACATACATACATACATACATACATACATACATACATACATACATACATACATACATACATACATACATACATACATACATACATACATACATACATACATACATACATACATACATACATACATACATACATACATACATACATACATACATACATACATACATACATACATACATACATACATACATACATACATACATACATACATACATACATACATACATACATACATACATACATACATACATACACACACACACATACACACACACACACACATACATACATACATGTGTGTGTGCGTAAAAATGTTTCACAAAGACTCTTTGTGTTATGATCGTCGACACAATGTATTAAAATTAATATCATATTTTTCTATGTCTTCTCATTCATCAACGTCGTTATTTCAAGAGCCAGTCTGCCATTGTAATGTTTTGTCACCTTATTCATGCGTTACATAGAGGAAACACAGACAACAGGAGACACATACATGAAACATACAACAATACACCTGTTGGAAACGATAGATTCAGGATCTTAGTGCATTCAAACCCGGACACTGCAAGACCGTATTTTCTAGTTTAATTTTTAACAACTTTCCAGAGTTCGAATCTCAACTGACTTTAAATTTCAATCACATTCATAATCATCATTCAAATCAGAAAGTTAACTACCACCTTGAAATAACCTAATTAAATTGTAAACTGGCTGACCAACCGACCGATCGACCGATCAACCAACATTGACCGACTGAACCGGCCGACCGACCAACTGATCAACCAACCAACAACTCACCAAAGGTTTGAGGTTCGTATGTGTGTTCAGGCTGATGAATTTCAGTGACATGCTGCAGACTCTGAACATCTTGAGGACATCTAACCAGATCCGATTGGTGGATTTGTTTGGCCTCTTCCTCTGCGTTTGGGTCGGTTCCTCAGGGTTTGTCCATCTAGTAAGTTGTTTGCTTCATCTAGATGAATACCTTCAAAAAAATTAATTTATTTATCAAAAAAAAAATTAAATTAGAATATCAAGCCTTTTTGTAAACTTTCCCTGCTTTATATTTCCACGAATGAAACTGTTTAAAGGTCGAGAACTCAGGCGATCCATTCTTCTGTTACGAGAACGCCAAACAACTATCTATCTGGAATAGCCTGTATCTGCTCGTAATCACCATGTCCACTGTGGGCTACGGAGACATCACCTGTCAAACTGTCCTCGGCAAAATATTTATCTTGGTCTTCTTGTTTGGAGCCATTGTTAGTGAGGATTGACGATGATTGCGATGATGATGGCGATGAAGATGATTGTTGGTGATACAACAAGACAAACACACGCGTCACACAAGCATACAATGAAACATTTATACACATTTCACACACACACACATACACTACATAAAAATTTGAAAGGCCCTGTTTGCCACCTCAGTGCCAGAAATAATTGAAATAATGAATAGTACAAGACAGAAACATTTAGTTGAGTACACTAGAGAACAAGGAATAAGGTTTATCGGATTTGTTATTTTTTATGTTAATAAATGCAAACACGCTCACAACATTTAAAAGGAAATGGACAAAGAAACTCATGTAAAATAACACAAAACTACACGCACACACACGCACGCACACACTCGTAGACATCTGATAGTTGGCGGTCACATCTCCCACGCAACGATGAAGAACTTCGTGAGAGACTTCATACACGATGACCGCTTGAATGTTTCGTTGAAGAGTATCGTACTCGATGAGTTGGTTGCTGATGTTCTGATGGTCGTTTGCTGACTGGAAATGCTTCAAATTTAACTGATTTGCAAACTCATACTTTAATTGTAACAATAATTATTTGAATAAAAAAAAATTCGCATTACGTTATCTTCAACATTTTCGTCGTCGTTTTTGTTTTTGTTATCTAACTACACAACTAGCAATGATTCAATAATGTTCTTTTAAACTTTAACGTTCAAATAACAACTGCGTTCTTTTCCATTAGGAGGGAACCATCGTTGGAGCTGGAATCCTTATTCAAAAGGTATTACAACAGGATGGCTTTTGTAAAGGGGTCAATGATGATTATCAAAGATCTTAAACGTGTCAAGGTATCCGAAGAATTTTTTTTCAATTTTACAACCACACTTGCAGCAAATCTTCGTACTTTAATTATTTTTATGGATTATATTAAATAAAACAACAATTTTTTCATCTTGATAATTATCATTAGCTACTTTTCCAGAAAATTTAGTTTTCTGCAAAATATCAACCATTTGAAGTAAAGAAAATTTATTCAATATTAGTCAAAAGTTAAATATTTAACTATTCAGCTCTTAAACGCTGAGATGGTTCTCATACTAACCAACCAGTCCACCAAATCAGCTGATGATGAAGATACAAGTTGGCTTGCTTCGCTCAGTCATTTTAATAAATTTCAAAATTATGTGATTTTCATTTGTTAATTATTGGCAGAAATGTGTTTTGTTTGCTGTTATAAAAATATTTTCACCATTGCTAGAGCCAAATAAATGTATATTAAAAGATTAGTTGAAACAATTACATTAAACAGACAACATTATGAGAGCCATAGCCGTGAAGAATTACTGCCCGGACGCAAAAGTTATCCTGCAGTTGTTGAAAATTGAAAGTAAGGTAGGTCTGCATTCGTCGCGGCAACTAAATTTTTAAATACTCTAATAAATGGAACTGTAAATTGACATTTTTTTAGTAATTTTTTCAAAAATTTTCATTTTGACCAGACGATATGCAAGAACCTGCCATTTTGGACGAGTAGAGACCACATAATCTGCTTCACTGAGATGAAGATGGCCTTCATGGCAGCTGGATGCCTCGCTCCTGGCTTCTCCACCTTTCTATCCAACCTTCTCCTCATGTACTCCTACAAAAATAAAAATCGAGTACCTTTGATGTTATTTGTAATCAATTTTTATTTTGAACTACACGACTATTGCGTTAATTAAACGGTTGACATTATGATGCGCAATGAGTTAAAAGAGAGCAAATGGCTGAAAACATCTTCTTGTGTGCGCTTTTTTCAACTCTACAAAATGCATTATTTTCATTCAATTCAGCCATCTATCCTTACTCCCATCCGTCTATCCAACTATTCCTTCATTCATTATCAATCTATCCATCCATCCATCCATCCATCCATCCATCCATCCATCCATCCATCCATCCATCCATCCATCCATCCATCCATCCATCCATCCATCCATCCATCCATCCATCCATCCATCCATCCATCCATCCATCCATCCATCCATCCATCCATCCATCCATCCATCCATCCATCCATCCATCCATCCATCCATCCATCCATCCATCCATCCATCCATCCATCCATCCATCCATCCATCCATCCATCCATCCATCCATCCATCCATCCATCCATCCATCCATCCATCCATCCATCCATCCATCCATCCATCCATCCATCCATCCATCCATCCATCCATCCATACATCAA